TGCGGAAAATAAACAAAATTTACGGAGGAAATGATTAAAAACCGAAATAGTGAAATAAACAGTGTTTGAAATGCCGCTCGGCATACACAATATCAACTCTCGAAACTAAGAACATTTCCCAAAACCCTGATCACAAGCTTTTGAATGTCTAATACTATCTAACTCCAGAATATCTAACAAAGAAAAGAAATACAGAAGGGCTAATGCCTAAAGCAAGAGTAGAAAGGGACTCTTCGGTCTGCGGACGCGGCAGATATACCTCGGAGTCTCTACAAGCGCCTCGCCTCAAGCGTGATAAGTCTGAGTCGCAATACCTGGATCTGCACATGAAAAACATGCGCAGGAAGGGCATGAGCACACCACAGCGGTACTCAGTAAGTGCCAAGCCTAACCTCGATCGGGTAGTGACGAGGAAAGTCAGGGCCCTACTGAGATTAAATGAAATCTAAGGTATAACAGTGTAGAATAAGACAGTATAATTAAGTGCAACAGTAAGAAATAACATAGAATAGAAAGAACAACAGTAACTATAACAGAGACAAAATAATCACGGAAAGGAGTACAACTCAACACAGAGATAACAACCGGGGACTCCCAGGATACCGTCCTGTAGTCCCCAATGTAAATATCCACTGGATCTCCTGGGTGCAGTCCCGTAGTCCAACTCATAATGCGTGGGGATCTACCGGAAATCCGATCTGTAGTCCCAAATGTAAATATCCAGTACAGGGGGAATCTACCGGGTGCAGTCCCGTAGTTCCAAAGTAAATGTGCAGGGGGATCTACCGGAATACAAATTCGTAGTCCCAAAGTAAATATGCAGGGGGATCTACCGGGATACCGTCCCGTAGTCCCAAAGTAAACACACAGCAACAACACGAAGAAATACACAATTTAATTCAAATTTCATACTAAGGTAAAACAGGTACTTCTAGCCGAGCATGTTGCACATAATCCAAATAAGGCAGTTTGGGTAAGTAAAGCAATTAAGTCAATTAGACATACTTTCCCTAAGTTAACAACAGACTTAAGTTGCAAGTAGTATAAGCAGGAAAAAGAAACACAATTAAAATTACTTAAAGAAAACCAGATTTTCAACAATTAGCACAAGTACGCACTCGTCACCTCACGTACAAGGCATTTCAAATATCAATAATACCAAATCCTAAGGGGAGTTTCCCCCACACAAGGTTAGACAAGCCACTTACCTCGAACCGGCTCAAAATCAACCCGAAACCACGCTCTTGCCATGAGTACTCGACTCCAAATGGCCCAAATCTATTCAATTTAATTGCATAATGTAAATAACACTTCAAGTAACTGATTCTACAATTAAATTCTAAGCTAATACGCAAATTAGGTAAAATGACCAAAATGCCCTCTGGGCCCACGTCTCGGAATCAGGTAAAATTTACATCTTCAGAATCCTTGTACTCTCACGAGTCTAACCATACCAAGAACACTGAAATCGGAGTCCAAATGACCCCTCAAATTCCTATTTTAAGGTCTCTTAATCTCAAGCCCTAATTACCCATTTGCACTGATTTTCACCAAATTCTCACCTTTAATTAGACCTTTAATCACATATAAACAAGTTATGAAGTCAAGAATATTACCTCCAAATGATTCCCCTTTGGTTTCCTCAAAAATCTCTCTCAAAAGCTTCAATCCCGTTCAAAAATGGTGGAAAATGGAGAAGGGTCGCGGATTGGGCTATTAAAACACCGCCAAGCTTTTTAATTTACTTAATCGCGGTCGCGGAAATCCCCTCTCGATCGCGAAGCACAAACTCCGGTGGCCCCAAATTAACTCTATGCGAACGTGGAACCCCTCACGCGAACGCGATGCTTTAGCTCCCTCAGACTTACGCGATCGCGGTTGGCTTCACGCGACCGCGAAGAGAAACACTTAAATTCCAATGCCGCCTTATTTCTTCTACGCGAACGCAGCCTAGCCCACGCGTTCGCGATTCAGCACTGCCCATAACTACGCGTTCGCATTCCTCTCACGCGAACGCGAAGACCAAAATTTCCCTCTGCCTCATCTAAGCCTTCTCGATCGCGAGCATCCTCACGCGATCGCGATGAAGAAATGTCTGCAACAAAAACCAGCAAAAATCTGATCCTTCTCCAAGTTCAAAAATGATCCGTTGAGCATCCGAAACACACCCGAGGCCCTCGGGACCTCAACCAAACATGCCAACCAATCCTAAAACACCATTCAAACTTGTTCCAACCTTCGGAATGCTCAAAACAACATCAAAACACCAAATTTGCATCGGATTCAAGCCTAAGAACTTCAAAAACTCTCAAATTACGCTTTCGATCAAAAAGTCTATCAAACCTCGTCCGAATGACCTGAAATTTAGCACACACGTCACATTCAGCCCTACGGAGCTACTCCAACTTCCGGAATCCCATTCCGACCCTCGGATCAAAATCTCACTATCGAACCGGAAACTTCCAAAAATTCAACTTTCGGCATTTCAAGCCTAAATTAGCTACGAACCTCCAAAACACAATCCGAACATGCTCCTAAACCCGAAATCACCCAACGGAGCTAACGGGACCATCGGAATTCCATTTCGAGGCCGTCTTCACACTGTTCCGACTACGGTCAAATTTCTAACACTTAAGCTCTCATTTAGGGACTAAGTGTCCCAAAATACTCCGAAACTCAAAACCAAACATCCCGGCGAATCAAAATAGCAGAAACAAACACGGGGAAAGCAGTTAATAGGGGATCGGGGCGTAAATTCTAAAAACGACCGGTCGGGTCGTTGCAGTATCATACTCTTGTCCATAGGCTTGCTCCTTATATTTTTCTCCACTAATATAGGTTCAACACTGATATTTAGAATCTTTCTAGGACTTTTCTTAGCTTTTAATGTCAGGCTTCAGGCTTGTAGGATAAAGATATTTTTAGAGTGACTTCTTTTCCCGATTTGGAACAAAAATTTTCTTGGTGCTCGATATTTCCTCCCTGTGATAACACTTTCTTTTTGTTTTTTTGTTTTTTGTTGTAATTTCAAACATCTTATATTCACATAAATTTTTTTTAAACTTTTTTTTCTTCTTCCATCCTTTTTTTAAAAAATATATGCACCAATCTCTGGTCATTTTTAGCTGGAAGATCTCATGACTATATATATATATATATAATTACTCCTTNATATTTATATATAATTACTCTTTTTTTTCTTTCTTTATAAGAAATCAAAATGTTTGAAAAAAATAGGATAAAGGCTCAAAGAAGGGTTCTAAAGGAATATTTTTATGTATTTGGTTAGAAATAAGAAGGCTAGAAAATAGTAAATCAAAGAAAGCCTAATTTCATTTTCCAAAAATCAGTGTCACCTATTGTTTCGCCTTGAGAAACATTTAGAGCAAGTTCTAGCCAAGTTTAATGATTCTACCTGTTTTACGATCATAATTTTTCTCAATTCCAATGGTTTCCTGAGATAAAGTTGCTTGCTCCTGCCTTCACAAAGTCAAAATAATAGATATCGAATTCATATGGTGACCGATGAATGTTGCTCAAAATATCCTCCAAAGTACAATTTTAGTCTTTGACCATTTACCTTAAACTTGTCACCTCCATTGATCTGTTGGGTTTCAATTGCTCCATATGGAGTAACATTTTTACATTGTAAGGACGTGTCCACCTTAATTTTAATTTTTCTGGGAATAGCCTCAGTCGACTATTGTAAAGAAGCACTTGATCTCCAATTTTAAAACTTTTTTGTCGGATCAAATTGTCATGACATTTCTTTTGTTTTTTCCTTAAAAAGTTTTGCATTTTCATAGGCTTCCAACCTCATTTCTTCCAACTCATTAACCTGAAAAAATATATTTTTACCAACAGAGGCTAATTAAAAATTTAATACTTTTAGTGCCCAAAAAGCTTTGTGTTCTAATTCAATTGGCAAATGACAAGCTTTCCCAAAGATTAATCTATATGGAGATGTTCCAATTGGCATTTTAAATACCGTTCGGTATGCCCATAATGCATCATCTAATTTTAAAGCCAGTCTTTTCTTGAGATTCCAATCATTTTTTTCAAAGTTCTTTTTGATTCACGGTTAGAACTTCAACTTGCCCTTGAGTTTGAGCATGACATGGTGTTCCTGTTTTATGAGTCACACCATATTTTGTCAGCAAAGCAGAAAATTATCTATTCATAAAATGAGTCCTTTGGTCACTAATGATGACTCGTGGTGTGTCAAATCTGGTAAAAATATTTTTTTTAAGAAATTGCACACAGTTCGAGCATCATTTTTCTTGTGGGGATGACTTCAATCCATCTTGACACATAATCCACAACTACAAGGATATATTGAAAAGAATGAGAAGAAGGAAAAAGACCCATGAAATCTGTTCCTAAAACATCAAATATTTCACATACTTGTATCGATTGCAATGATATCTCATCTCTCTTAGTGATGTTACATGTTCTCTGACACCTATCACATTGTGCAACATATGCTCGGGCATCTTTAAAAAGCGTCGGCCAGAAAAATCCGGCTTCCAAAACTTAGAAAGCTGTTCGATTTGCTGCATAGTGACCTCTAATTGCTCCATCATGACAATGATATAAAATTTTGTTCATCATCTCTTCTTCAGGCACACATCTTCTAATGATATTATCTGCCACCAAAAGCTTTACGATCTCCTTTTTTACTACTTCCTGCATTGCTAGATTCAATCTCCTTTGGTGCTGGACTATTGGCCTGTAATTATCCTCCATGAGGATTCTCTACGTACAAACAGCTGTGTTATTCCCTTTGATATCTTCTATAGTCCATCCCAAGGATCCTTTGTGTGCTTTCAAGACTTCAATCAGTTTTTCTTCTTGTCATGCAGTAAGAGAAGATGAAATAATTACTTGAAATAATATTTCCTCAAGATAAACATATTTTAAATGAGATGGGAGAACTTTGAGTTCAATTTTTGATTGAACTTGTTCTAGTTGCATCTCCTCATCTTCAGAATATTTTTCTATTATTTCGGCTTCTCTTCTGATGATAGGATCATCATCTTGTGTTGTGCCAGATTTGGCCAAACACCTTTCATTGAGTCTGGAATTAATTGATCATCTTTGAATTCATCTGTAAGATAATTAAGCATGTCAATCGAAAAACACGAAGATGATGTCTCATCTCCTGAAAATCTTAATATCTTTTGCATATCAAAAATGACTCTTTCTTCATCAACTCTCAAAATTAGTTGTCCTCGATGGACATCTATGATTTCTCTACCTGTGGCAAGAAATGGTCTACCCAAAATGATTGGTTCATCAAGACATTCCTTCATTTCAAGTACTATAAAATCTATAGGGAAAACAAACTTATCTACTCCTACAAGCACATATTCAATTATTCCCTTAGGTTTCATAGTATTTTGATCTGCAAACTGAAGAGAAACACCTATGTCTTTCATTTTACCAAGATTTAGTTTTCTAAAGATAGAAAATGGCATCAAGTTAATTGAAGCTCCAGAATCACAAAGTATTTTTTCAAAGTATACTCCTCCCAAAGTTCATGGAATTGTAAAACTACCTGGATTACCAAGTTTTGTGGTAGCTTATTTTGAAGTATAGCACTGCATTTTTCAGTAAGCATCACCACAGAAACTTCTTCCAATTTCCTTTTACTTGACAAAAGTTCTTTTAGAAATTTGGCATAAGAAGGCATTTGCAATAAAGCATTAGTGAAAGGAATATTGATATGAATCTGTTTTAGAATCTCCAAAAACTTTGAAATTTGATTATCAAGCTTTTCTCTTTTCAGTTTTGTGGAAAAGAAATTGTCACAGGGAAATGAGTCAATTTTTTAATATTTTTTTATTCTTTTTTCTTGACTTCTTTCTTTTCAGATGGTTCAGAGGGTATTTCAACATTCTTACCGTTGTTTACCTGTTGTTTTGACTGGTCTGCATAGGGTTTATCAAGATCCTTACCTGACCGTAAGGCGATGGCCTTAAGGTGCTCCTTTGGATTTTTCTCGGTATTGCTTGGCAAGGGACCTTGAATCTTTTCTGACACAAGAGTTGCTATTTGGCTTAATTGAATTTCCAGATTTTTGAGGGTTGAACCCTGGCTTTCCATCTTTTTGTCAGTGACCTTAATGTACTTATACAAAAGGTCATCAAGACTTGAATGAGCTTGTTGAGGCCTTTGCTAATATGGCCCTACATGTTGATAAGGTCTATAGTTGGGTTGCTCACGATTCTAATTCTGGTATCTTGACGGACCTTGTACTTTTGCTTCTGGAAGCTTTGAGAGTTCTCTGCACCATTTGGATTGCTCCATTGAAATCCTGGATGCTTTTGTGCCATTGGACTCTCAAAAGGGTACGATTTATAACCGACAGAATGGACATGTTCGTCATTATGATTGTTTGCTTGACATTCATGGTTCAGATGGTTTCCTCCACACATGTCACATGCCTCAGATTGGCTTGGTTGTTGTGTATTCACCTGAAAAGATTCAAACTTTTGTGTCATAGAAACAATTTGTTGTGTTAGTGTATTTAGAGCATCAACCTAATTTACCGTAGCAGCCTTCTTGATAATTACACACTCAGATGGCCATTGGATGGCATTCTCAGAAATCCCGTTCAACAATTGCAATGGTTCCTCTGTGGTTTTTTCCATTACAGCCTCCTACAGCTGCATCAATCACATTTCTAGCAAAGGGTTTTAACCCGTGATAAAAAATATACAGTTTCATATGTTCAGGAATGACATGGTGTGGACATTTTCTTAACATTGCTTTTTATCTTTCCCGAGCTTAATAAACTGACTCAGTGTCAGTCTGCAAGAAATTAGAGATGTCTTGTCTTTACTTTGTGATTTTAGCAGGGGAAAAATATTTGTTTAAAAATTTCCGAGTCATTTGATCCAATGTGGTAATGGAACCTTATGGAAAACTTTGAAACCAAGTCTTGGCATCTCCTTTTAAAGAAAAAGAAAATAGCCTTAACTTGATAGCTTCAAGAAGTACTCCATTATACATAGTTATTTCAACAAGTTCTAGAAAGTCAATTAAATGACTGTGTGGATCTTCACTTGCATCTCCAGTGAAGATGCAAGACTGTTGAATCGTTTGAATTAGGTCAGTCCTAATATTAAAGTTGTTGGCTGCCACTGGGGGTTTTCTGACACTCGATTCAGAGTAGAAACAGTCAGGTCTAGCATAATCTCGTAGGATTCTATTGGCTAGCTGATCTCGTCCAAGTCACACCTCTATCCGAGGTTGTGAAACGGTCGATGCAATAGTAATACCCAACAGAGTCGGGGTCGAATTCCACAGGGAGCTATATGAATGGGATAAATTAGTATATATTTGGACTAAGCACGTGAAATATCTAGATTGCAGTTCCACAAATATTGTTTGTTTTTACTTCTAAAATTATGCTAAAGATTGTAATTCTAAAAATATGAAACTAGGAAATATTATTTTTGGTTGTTTTTCAAATATTGTAAAAGGCCTAGGGCTATGACCTTCACCTAGGTGTTTGCCTAGCGGGTTGTAAACTTTAAAGCTTGTTTTGTTGGTTGTAGTGTATTATAGATATCAATACTCAATTACCCACTCAATACCTCCCGGTAAGAGGGTGATTTTGCCCAATTTGGCTTTCTCAAGTCCAAATTGGTATTGAACAAAATAGTTGGAAAAATGCTCAAGTCGGGTTTTACTATCTCTAGGTTCAACTCTTTAATTAGGACTATCAGTCTCTTGATTTCATCCCAAATTCTTGTTAGCCAAGTTTTCCTAGACTAAGTCTCTCTTTCTCAAGTAGAGACCAAGTCAAAAAGGCATGAACTAATATTTGCAACCATTAATTCTACAATAAAAAACAAGAACAAGGCTAAATAATCAACACCCAACCATAAACAATCCATAAATTAAAACACTCATTAGGTTTACAAACTAGGGTTGGGTCACAACCCTAGTTAAAAATCTAGCTACTCATAATGGGTAATGAAGAAAATAGAGAAGAAAAGATGACAAAACACATTTGAAAAATTAAAAGACAAAAATCCAATGTTAATCACTAAAGTAAGCTAAAGTTGCCCAAAGCAGTAAGAAAAAATGGCTACAGGAGTTCCAATATTCAAAACCTTGACCTAATTTTGTGAAACTAGCCTATTTATACAAAGCTGGAAATTTCGAACAAAAATGCCCTTTCGGAGGTTCTGCGGCCGCCCAATTCCATGTGCGGTCCGCGCTTTTCTTCAATCTTGACAGGAGCTGGATCTGCGGCCGTACAATTTTGGAATGCGGCCGCATCTCTTGTGTTCTGCGGTCCACACAAATCTAGGTGCGGCCGCACAGGGCCCTTCTGCGAACCACACATTTCCGAGTGCGGCTGCGTGGCTGATTTCTGCGGCCGCACAACAATTGTGCGGTCCACACTTCCTTTATACTTGAAATGTTAACTCTCTGAACTTCTGCTCTTGGGTAGCTTCTGCGGCCGGACAATAATTGTGCGGCCCGCACATTGCACTAGGTCTCTGTTGGATTTCCTTCACAATCTGTGACCGCAGATGGAATTCTGCGGTCTGCACTTGAGCCTTTGTGCCTGATTTTTTCCCTTAAGTTCAGATCACTCCTTTTTGAGTTGGACTTCATCTTTGTGGCTTATTTTCCAATACACTAGCAACTAAGTATATTTCATCAGTGTCGTGCCCCCTTTTTCTCGCGAAATCGGGTTTCGACATTTTGGCAACTCCTTTTGAGAGGGTAGGGAAAAGGAATTGATTAGAGTCGCCACCTAACGGATTAAGGTACGTTAGGGCACCTAGAGCAGATAACTCATATCATACTAGTTTGCATCACCAGAGATCGGGTAAGGGCTCGAAATTACCTTGAGGGGAAGGTGTTAGGCAACCCTCGAGGTCCAGAATGGTGGGTCCTGGCCGAACTTAATTTATGAATTAGTCTAATAAAGAAGCTAGAGAATTACTTAATGGGGGGTCCTAAATTTTTTAGCCTAAAGGATCACCCCGTGCAACATAAATAATACTTCGTAACTCTCTCGAGATGGGGTGTTACTCATATTATTCAGCGAGCACAGACTATCATCTCCTGCTACCCAATTACTATCTTTAAGTTGTTACTTAAAGCGCTCTAGTTGATTCTAGTGCGTTTCCTATGCGTGCATTACCCGTCCCATACCTATGGTCCTGGAGGCATTAGGACTTCTATTTCGGGGTGGTTCTAGACTAAGCCTGGGTTGCTCAAAATTGTAAAATATTAGGCGACAAACAAAACAGTTAGGACTTTTCACATAAAAAACAGATATGGGCTCATATTGACCTCCACACATAAACAGCAAATGCACGCAACTGATTAGCAGGTTTTATTGATCGTAGAATCCTATAGACAGGATATCTATGCGAGAAGACAGGCGAGCAGTGATATATAGAATCAGTTTCATTAATGTGAGTGTTAAGGCCTATTATTTTGCCTACTGATTTTATTTAGGATGACATCTGGGCGTTTTATGCAGTGACGAATAACAGTAAATCACAGTTACAAATCCAGAATTGTGATTTCAGTCCTATAGGCATATTGTCTAAGTGATTGGCAGTGGCGATTGTATTCATAACCAATTAGTAGAATCCTATAGGCATGATATCTAGTGTCGAATTGGTTTTAACCCTATAGGCATGATTTCTAGATGCACACGGATTTAGCTTTATATACATGTTTCACAAACTTGTATTTCCCTTCAATCCTATAGGCATGCTTTCTAAGTACTGAAACGACTTAAATTCTATAGGCATGATCTCTAGGTTTGAAACTGATTTTAATCCTATAGGCATAATATCTATCAAGCAGCACAAGGGCAGAAATTGTACACATTCCCAGCAAACAATTGAGTTAAACATTGGGGTCCTATAAGCATGATTGCTAACGCATATTGATACGTCCTATAGGCAGGATTTATAATGTATATGCCATATAACGGGTTTAAGCAGAATTGACATCACCAATGAAATCCTATAGGCAGGGTTTCTAAAACACATTGTAGGACTTAACAGTTTAGAGAAATGAGCAGAATTAATAGCATACATGAACCCCTATAGGCAGGATTTCTACCCAGTTTAACAAATGGAAATAAGAAATCCCCCTGTTTTTACTAAACACCCAGAATCTATTTATCACAAGATTATTACAGACCAGATAATGAATGAATTATATAACAGTAATAAAAATACACTATAGGGAGCCTTCCTTAGGCCCAAATAAACCTGGGAACCAAGCCTTCAAACCAATCAACTTCGAAGCTTATTTCACAGGTACACCATAGCCAAATACGAGTGATTCACGCATAGCACATATAGAACCAGTTTTCCAGTGTGTCAAAGTTCCCAAGGGCCTCAAGGACCCAAGCAATGCTCACGCCAGAACCACATACTCATAAATGATTCAAAAGATATTAGGAACCAGTTTCCAGTGTGTCAAAGTTCCCAGGGGCCTCAGGAACACAGGCAGTGATCACACTGGGGTGGTTGAAGATAGTACCTAAAGGACTAAGATTGGGAGTTTTAAAAAAGAGTAACAGCATATAAAAGGAGGTAGGGGTAGATTTAAAACAGTTTGGATTTCTCAGAAGGAGACTACCATAGCAAAATTTTAGAACACAAAACATGCAGGCATAATGTCATTAAGAAAACAAACAAGAGTGGCAAAGTACACAGCTTCAAACAGGTTAAGTCAGAAAAGACCTGATTAAACTAAGTGTGCATACTAACATTTAGGACAGCCTTGTTTAATCACATAAACATTTGGGCAGAGTGCTAAGGCAAACAGTCAGATTATCACATGAATCCATAAGGTTACAAGACCTCTTAGCAAGGCACATAAATTAGGTAACAACACAAGTCTGCAAAGTTAGGATTAATGAACTAATTTCATGCTAGTAGTACCCTAATGATACTAAGTTCAGGACTAGCAAACAGTATGCATGAGACAAGTTAAAACAATAAGTTATCCTTTAAGAGGATTCATATTATTCAAAGGTAACCAATCTCAGAACTAATAGTATCAACTATAGGACTAAAAGAGAATCATATAGACAGGCAGGATCATGCTCAAAATGCACTTTAAACATGCTGGATTGTACACATAGTTCGAGGATATATGGCAATGAAATAATAAAGGATAGTCAGTCACCAGTTAAGCAAGCAAACCAGAGTAATACCACAGAGTTGAGAGTCCAGAATATTTGGCCTTGGGTTTCAGCCGGCCAAGACCAGTAGTAAATAAGAGAGAGCAGAAAGATTATAGAACTAAGCCCTAGATTTCTTAGTGAGAATACTGAGAGTTCGAGTCTGTCTAAAGGGGAAAGGGGAGAAGGTTTAAATAGTACTGGACTAGGCACATAAATATGGCAATAATCAATCAAGGAAACATCTAATAGTCAACTAAGGGAAGAAAACTCAGAACTTCATTTAAGGTAAACCATAAGTAACAAATGCATAGATGCGTATAATAATAATAATCAAACAAGGCTGGGAATTAAAGGTTCTCAAGTAATAATTAAGGCAAGAACAGATAGACAGAATCAGTAAGAAAAGTGAAATAAGACTCAGAAACCCTAATTTTAGGGCAAGTAAAAGCAGTCAGAATAATCAAAGGAAGA